AACAGTTTAACAAATCTTTGTTATGTATCTGTTATATTAAAGTCACTGTGTTGGCCACATAAACTGCTAACTATTGTACTCATAATTCACTGGATGTTGTTTCTGATGTCTGGACCTTTCCAATCTGCCTGGAAAGCCCCTCATTTTTCAAAACCTGTCATAAGCATTAGTTCATCCACGGAGCTTTACTCTCCATTTACAGTCCATTCACACAAAGGCAGACTTGGTCATCTGCTCTTCTCTGCTTAGGTAGCATGATTCACACACTGTCATTACGGAAGTTGTCTTAGGATTGTCTATAAACCTTCTGTCTTTCCCTCTCAAAAGGTGAGTGTGTACCACGTTTTGGTCGTCTCTGTAAATCCGATAGCAGCTAGCCGAGCACCTGACACACACTGAAAACCCAAATGTTCACTGCTCAATAAAATTATATGCTTTAAAATAGAGTGTATTTTAAATTCTAGTGCTTCTGAAAACACAATTTGTTTTATTCAATTAATTGGCAAATATTTGTTGAGAATTTAACTTATAGCAAGTAATTTTTATCTGCCATCTTATTCATTGGCTTGTGTAATCTAGCTTGTTACTCTAGTTTCTGTTTTACAGATGAGTGCCTAAACCTTGCTCGCAGGTAACCTGACATTCCTAGTAAATTTTTTCTCTAAGTCATAATTTTTTTAAAAAAGCTCATAATTTACTCACCTATTTTTCTGCCTTACTAAGTATATTCAGTGTAGTTAATTTTTTAGGACTTGGTCAGTGTTCAGATTTGTTACCGGGTTATTATCTTCTAAAATACACAGCCCCAAACCTGAGATCGGGGGAGACTTCTGGGAATTCCCGTCTTCAATTACTGCTTTTGGTTATCTACTGCAAACCAGCTATTCCCCTTATACTCAGTGGTTGCTCTTCCCTTATTGAAATAATATTTAGACTACTTGAACTTAATTCAGAAGGATCCCAGAAAATTGCCTAAATGTTTCTTTCTAGTAGGCATAGGGGAAAATATAACCTTAATTGGTTTTATAATCTTAATTTTTTCCCAATAACTTGCCAGAAAAAAAACAAATCTTCAACCCATGAACCCTCCCAAAAGCAGCGGAGACTGTGATTTGAGAACTGCTAGAAGCAAGTCCTCCTCCTTCAAAATTACCCACAGTGGGAATGTCTGAAATTCCAACATTAACGATTCCCTCAAAGAAACAGAGCATTTCCCAAACCTGACTTCTATTAAGTGAAAACTTTATTATAGATCCTCCAGCATTGATATGAATAATTCATAAGAATAATACTTAAATACGTTCAAACCTGAAACTAGATATAATCTTCATTTGCTTCTAATTTTATAGGACTATAAAGCTAAAACCTATTTTAAAATTTAACCTAAAACTTAAAAATCAATAAGATTAAAATAATCTCAATATGATGCTAATGCCCTGCTGAAAATAAACTTACTATTCACAAGAAGAATATGGAACTGTTTGCTAATGATGATAATCTTTTTGTTTTAGCTTAGCTTTATTATGATCTGATTTGTATTTTATATGTTATATTCCTATGTGCCATTTGTATACCATCTATGGTATCTAAGACACCATTTGTTGTAAAACATACCATTATTTTATGCATGTTTCTCTTAGCCTATCCAAACCTCAGCCTGCAATGACTACTAATAAAAAACAACGAAGCTTTAACATTTGTGTTCTTCCAGGGATACTTTTTTTCAGCTTCTTCTTACATACTGCATCTACCACAGAGAAACTCTTTATTGTTAATCTAGAACTAAGAGATGGTCTATACCATCTTCTTCTTGTTATTTATTCAACAAACATTCATAAAGTACCTAAAATATGCCAGGCACTGAGTTGGGCACAGAACTCTGAAGGTGGCCAAAGTGTAGTCTCTGCCTGCAGAAGCTTATGCTGTAATAGAGGAAACAGACCCAGACACGGCTGTAAAATGAGAACTGATAAAGTAGACATCTCCGTGTGGCACAAGATACAATTGCAACAAAAAAGACAGGATTATAAGTATAGCTGTCCATGGTAGAAGAGAGGAAAGGTGGGAGAAGGAAATACCAAGCTTAAGCTAGATAGTCAAAGAGTGGAACAGCATTGCAGGCAAGGGAACAGTACACATGAGCAAAGACATGGGCAGAGATAAGAAAAAGGAGAGAAGCTCAAGCTATTCTAAATTATTGATTACAGCAAGAGCTGAAAGAGAGGGAGGTGTTACATATGAAACCAGAGTTAGGCAAAGGTCAATGATACAAGGCCCAGAATGTCCTGGTAAGGAGTTTAGACATTACGCCACAGAAAAGGAGGAGTGGCTGAGGGGCTTCAGTTAGACATACAGCTCTATTGAAGAAAAATTGTTTTTATTCCCACTGGCATACACTACTTCAGCAATATGGCAAGTTGGTACAAAAAGAAATTAAATTGTTATTGGTAAAATTCCAGTAAGCCATTTCACCCAGAATAAGCAACTCTCCCTCTTGCCTTGTCTTCTTTTTTTTTTTTTTTTTTTTTTTTTGAGACGGAGTTTCGCTCTTGTTACCCAGGCTGGAGTGCAATGGCGCGATCTCGGCTCACCGCAACCTCCGCCTCCTGGGTTCAGGCAATTCTCCTGCCTCAGCCTCCTGAGTAGCTGGCATTACAGGCACACGCCACCATGCCCAGCTAATTTTTTGTATTTTTAGTAGAGACGGGGTTTCACCATGTTGACCAGGATGGTCTCCATCTCTCGACCTCGTGATCCACCCGCCTCCGCCTCCCAAAGTACTGGGATTACATGCTTGAGCCACCGCGCCCGGCTTGCCTTGTCTTCTTACTGATTGGAGAGCTCCTCTGTGGAACAGCACTAATCACAGAATTTAAAATCAGAAGAAAAGAAACATTTTTTCCCAAGCTAGCTATTTCCAGGTTAAGGCAAGAGATTTACTTTAGTCCACAGAGCCACCAAAGTGAAAAAGGAATGATCCAAAATTTATGTTCTTCATTCCAGAATTCTTTCTAGTTGTCTATTTATCAATCTTTGAGACCTCTGATAGAGACAAAATGAAAGTATTCATTTAGAACTTTAATGCCCATATTAATGCTACGGTGTTGTCAAAAATCAGGTTGTCGGAGGTATTTTAAACCATTTTTAAAGGTGCCTGCGTTACTTAAGAATATCTCTATCCCATTTATTCTGACCTGTGATAATCCTAAAGGGTTAAATTGTCAAAACAGACTACCTAGAATCATAGATCTTACCTAGCACTAAAATTTATTAATGATTCACTGGATGCAAGCCACCGTCAGAAATTAACAAACATTCATTTTGGGAAAAACCCCAAATCGTCAGACCCAGCATCCAAAACAGACCATTTTCTCCTGCAGTCGGCACATTCTGGTTTTGCATTTATAAGTAAATTTTGAGCATTGTCTGCAAAAGCATTTCTCACAAAAGGAAGGCAGTTTGGTTTGGAATTATCATTCCACATTCTCTTACAGAGCTTACATAGCCCCTCTGTCTCCATTCTCCAGCCAGCCTGCCAAATTCCAGGCTTATTTACAAAAAGCAATCTAGACAGACCAGAAATGTCCTGATTAAAAAAAAAAAATTATCAATAGGGACTCCCTGATATCTTTCCACTGATAAATACTATGAGATTTATAACAAAGTCTGATGAGGTCATTTTTTCCTTTGCAGGTCTCAGGAAGAGAAAAAATTATTCAAGGCCGGCTCTTAACACCTTCCCTTCTTTTGACTTGGCGTCTATGCTTACATACAAAGTTCAAATGTAATCAATTATAGGATTACAGGATTATCTGAAAAGTTCCTATACATATTTGATAATCTCTTCAGAATTATTTCTGAAGCAATAATGGAACCAAAACACCCCCTTCCATTTGTTAACAAAAATAAATAGCTTTGTGTTTCTAAGCCATATAAGTCAAATCATGTATTCAATGAAGTTACTTATTAGGTATATTTATTTTTGATAAAATGGTTGAATCTAAAATTAAAACTTCTAATTTATTTAAAAATCTATAAGGGAACTATGATTTTGGTAATATGAAATCTAAATTAAAATGTTTTTTTCATAAATACATAATATTTCATTTCTGTATTAACTGTAATAAACATATCTAACATATCTTAAAATACATAACTAGTATCTCAAGGAAATTTCCAGATTGCAAAAATACAGACAGCAAGAAGTATTTAATAAGTTGACTTAGGCTGTCCTGGGTGTGGGTATGTGTCTTGCTGCATAAAGGCTTTGGTTTTAATTTGAAACTGCAGAAGAGAAGTGCTTGCACTAAAAACAAAAACAAAAACAAGACCTGTTTAAAAAAACATACACCTTTGGTACACTAAAAATCTCATGCAACAGAATAGAACATCAACAAAGTTTGTCTGGGCTCTGGGTAGAGGGAAAAAAAAGTTATCTATCTTTAACAAATCTTAGTCTTATACCTATGCCTCACACAGATTTGGGGTCAAACTTTACACACACATACAGAGGAAAAGTCAAATAAACAGATTTTTGTTTGTTTGTTTAGCTATGTGGAAATCAACCACCAGAAGAACAGAAAAAGGCAGCTTAAAAATAGGGACCTCACATTGCAGGACTAGAGAAGGGGACTTTGGAGCAGTGAATGATTTGCTTCGTATCCAAAGCCCTCGTGGATGTTTCATTTTTGTAATCATTTTCACATATTACTTTACCTAAAATTAGATAGATAAAGATAGGTAGGTGATTAATTAGAAGGAAAGAAAATACATGAACCAATGTGTTATGTGATCACATTTGAACCATTAAAATCAACTATCCTCTACTTCTAAATTATTCACAAGGGCATTTGGACTCCCTAAAGTTCATAAACAGAGTGCAAATCACCGAACCAGAGGTAATTTGCTGCTTTTAAGCCAAAGCCCTGGCTAGCTAAGGAGTTGCCTGAAGGAATTAACCAGAACAAAATCCAGATTAAATAACTAATAGGCTTGTCTACTGAAGAAAAGGAAAACAAAATACATTTCTCTACCTTAAGACACAGTCATAGATACAGAGGGTTTTCAGAACCACCCCAAAGAAGATGTTTAAATCGCTGACAAAAGTCAACAAGGTGAAGCCTATAGGAGAGAATAATGAGAATGAACAAAGTTCTCATCAGAATAAACAAGGCTCTCAGCCAAGTAATCAGCCTCAGGAAACCACAAGACAGGTATGTTCTCCACATTCCTAAGTAAGCTTTGATTTTCATCATTTCTTATCTGGTAATAGCATTTAATCACTGCTATAATCTATGATTGCTTAATAGTTTCACCCAGCACCATCTGGTACATGTACTCTGTCAGGTTTATCTTTATTAATTTACATATTCTGTAGATATTTGTTTATAAAATGAATAATAAATGTTTAAGATATTATATTAAGATTTGGAAAAGCCAAGTAAGACTTCTCATTGCTGATTTTCACTTCTACGATCATCCGAAATGAAATCATTTCTCAAATATTAAATTGGTTACTTGATTTTCAACAAAAAACATCAACTGTCCTGGTCTTAATAAACCATATTTTAACAATAGATTCTCTAGAGCAATAGGAAACCTATTGGCTCCCAGTTGAGAGCAATTTTGCCACTCAAGGGACATTTGGCAAATGTGGGGACATTTTCAGTTGTCACCGTTCCAGGGTGGGGATGTTACTGTCATCTAGAGGGCAAAGTCTGCAGATGCTGCTAAACATCCTATCATGTACAGCACAGCCCTTCATGACTTAGAATTATACACTACAAAATTTTAAATCTGCCAAAGTGGGACAACCTTACTTTAAACAAAACGTTTCACAAGTTCCAAGTATAATCATCTATAAAATGTATATGATAATTTCTGCTTTGTCGTGAGAACTAGAGACAATATATAAAGCACATGGTAGGTACTTTGCAAGTGGCCATTATTATTATAATTAATGATTTGTGTTTCTGTGACAGGTTTAGGTCCAAAGCCATCATTACAAGAGCAATATTTACTTAGAACTATCTAGAGAATAATTTTCATGAATTACTCACTAGAATTATCTAAAAGAGCTACGGAAGATTTTTAGAGCAATAGTTACTTTTCCATCTGAAAGAGCTGGATGAGAGATGTCAAGTACAAGCAGGAGTGCTCCTCAGGGACTAGGGGAGCATGGTCCAGTGGTTCGTGTTTAAATGAGCCTAGCGGATAGACGACACTGAGGTTATTTAACATTGGCCATGGAAAACCCTCCTTCCTTTTCTGATTAATGTTGATTACTTTGCAGTACAGAGATGAGGAGGACTGTGTTAGTATTGCTTCATGAGCGTGCCCTTGACTTCTTTCTAATTCTTATGCCGAAATAAATAATCACACACTAAAAGTTATTTATGTGTTTAAGAGCTCATACAGTGTCACAGATATTGAGCTGGTACTTTCCTTCAGCTAGTCTTGCTGTATTTTGCTCTGGGAAAGTCACTACAGTCATGCTTAACTCCTGGCTACTGTGATTATTTTCCCAAAGAGCACATAAATACAGCTAACAGCTAATATTTTATTCTCTTAGAGAACGCTGTAGCTAACGGCAATTACCATGTGCCAAGCAAGGTGCTAAGCCCTTTTCCAGCACTACTGTATTTGATCCTCACAACAGTCACGGGTCCTATTATAGTTTGCCGCTTATACCGGTAGCAAATGGCAGAGCCTGGACTGGAACCAAGTCCCATCTGACTTCAGCACCTGAGAGCCAAATCACTAGGCTATACTGCTTCAAAACAGGAGAGATATTAGTTGGGTCAACCCTTTAAGATACTTTGCCTACAGGATAAAAAGATGTTAGAGAGAAGGCGAAAAAAGAGCGGAAACTTCTTAAAGAATTGTTTTTCCTTTCAAAACAGGAATATTGGAGAAGCACTTAGATTAGGCACAGGTAGAGCATTCCTTAGGTATATCCCATGCCATTCTAACAGCCTTAATTTGTGGTGAGTATTAACCATGAAGTCTACTGGCATCATATTATTATTATTATTATTATTATTATTATTATTGAGACAGAATCTCATTCTCAGACTTGACTGTAGTGGTGTAATCTTGACGCACTGCAACCTCTGCCTCCTAAGTTCAAATGATTCTCATGCCTCAGCTTTCCAAGAAGCTGGGATTACAGGTGCATAAAACCACACTTGGCTCGTTTTTGTATTTTTAGTAGAGACGGGGTTTTGCCACGTTGGCCAGGTATCAAACTCTTGACCTCAGATGTTCTGCCCACCTCAACCTCACAAAGTATTGGGATTACAGGCATGGGTCACTGCTACATTATATCTTAAAACTCATATTTGAAGAATTATTTGCATCTGTTTTTCCAAGAACATGTGAGTGTAGGAAAAAAGAGTTTATCTCCAATTTCAAATATGCCAAATGTTAAAAATGATGGAAAGTTAAAACCCTATTTTCTTTCACAGAATTTGATCTTTTAAATGGCATTTAAACAATAAGCCTCTGAACTATGAATAAATGATTAGAGTCTTATAGAAAATATCTAGGAATAAATATATCAATGTATATTGCGCTTTTTAAGGAGTCATTTAAAGAGCTCATTTACAAACCAAAATGTCACGGGTAATTCCCACCTATCCGTGAAAAATAATTCAAGAACTGCAAGTCGATTTAATCCAAACTCTCTCTCTTACCCCAGAATAAGATACTGTTCACATAAATCTACATATGTATGCACATAAAGACCATAACAGAAATGTTTATGAATAACATTGTCATCATAACAATGCAAAAAGACTTGATTGAAGTCAGGAGGCTTTTTCACTGTTTATAAATAGTCCTGGATTTATACTTTTTTAGCTAGGTTCATATAAACTAGATACTCAATCAATTTCATATTCAATAACAATAATATTAATAATAATAGCTGTCTTGCCTAACATATATGGTTATTGTGAGGCTTAAGTGAAATCAGCCAGTTAATTTATTTTTTAGTTTTAAATGCTTCTATGACATACAGGGCTTAAAAATAATGTCAAAACTCCATAGCAGGCACACAAGACTCTCAGTGTCCTTCTGGTCCCTGCCCAGTCTCAAGCCTCATCTACTCACCCTTTGTCCCATCCAGCTGCTCCTACTGTAGTTTCTCCCCACCTATGTGGGGTCATGCCTTTGGCTTTTGCTTAACCTGCAACATCTGCCTGGAATGTTTTCTAAGTCTTCTCCATGTGGAAAACAAAAATCTTATCTTCATAAAATCAAGAGTCACTTTCTGTGTAATAGTTTCCTTCCTTTCCCTTCTACTCCAGTAGAATTGACCACTTCGTGCTTATGCCCCATCCTTATCCTCTACAGACACTGTCTCATCACCTACATTTTTTTGCACTAAATATTTTTGTGTGTTTGTTTCCCCTTCTAGACTGTCCATAGCTTGGGAGTCAATCTTTCTATATTCTAACCTCATATTTTGTTTCACTCTGCCCCTGTAGGAATATCTTGAGGCATACACTGGCCATGTGTAGTGGGACATAACGACATTTCAAAGCAAAGCTTAGACGATTAGACAAATAATGAAGTAGAAGCAGATGAAATCATGGAGAGAAGAAAGAGGGCTATGTGTGAATGGGACCAAATTGCCTTCTTTCCACTATTTTAAGTTCTGCCACTAAAGACCTAGACCAATGATAGGCCTATGGGAAGTAAAGAGCAGAACTGAAGGGATGTGAGCAAGAGAAACACAGAGTCCACACTGAAAAAACCAGAGGGATCCGGCGACTAACAAGCTGTGGAGGCTGAGGTTTATTATTCAATAGTAGGCCAAGCATGCCCATTTTAAGTGCAAGAATCACTTTTAGTGCCTCATGAACAGTCCATTTTAATGATCCGATTGACAATTGAGTGGCAAATGGTGTTACCTTTTACTTTCAACTTCATTTTTATGGAAATTAATCACATACAATCTCTATTTTTTTTCTTCAAAGGAAGAAAACAAAAGTGAAGAGAAATCTCTCAAAACCAAGTCGACTCCAGACACGTCTGAAGAGCCACACACCAACATACAAGGTCAGAATGCAATCTCCAAAAAAAGCCTAAAAAGTGAAATACATATTTCTCTGAAATGCGTTGGCCAATGAAACATTTGTCCTTGACTAGGAAAATTATCTAGGGTCACACTGAGGTTATTTGAAGATCTGAATAGTCTCAAAAACTATATATCCTCATTCAGTAACTCATTTGTCCATTCAGTAGATGTTTTTTCATTAGCTGCCATGTGCCAGGCACTGTTCTACGGGCTGGAGTTGCAGTGAGCAATATGGACTGAGTCTGGGGTCACATGAAGCTTGTAGTCTAAAGAAAATGAAACCCATCACAGATAAGTAAGCACATTGTGAACAATGTGATTCCAGACATTGACAACAATATAAAGACACTAAAATGAATGTGGATTTAACACATTTAAAGGTTTAGCACTCACACCTCTGCTCCTTCTTGCTAAACTCTCTCCATTAGAAGGCTCATCTACTCCCAAGGCTACCACACTTGTTTCTACAGGGATGCTTCTAAATCCATATCAGGTCAATTTCTTTTTTAAGACTGTCAGCAATATTTTTCAAATCACTACTAGATGTACATGCCTGTATATTGTGCTGCATCACAGAGAAAGCATGTCTAAAACTAAATTCCTTATCTTCCCCTACAAATACACTCCCTCTCCTGATTTGATTTGATTTGATTTTTTTGAGATGGAGTTTCACTCTTGTTACCCAGGCAATGGCACAATCTTGGCTCACCACAACCTCCACCTCCTGGGTTCAAGCAATTCTCCTGCCTCAGTCTCCTGAGTAGCTGGGACTACAAGCACGTGCCACCATGCCCAGCTAATTTTTTTGTATTTTTAGTAGAGACGGGGTTTCACCATGTTGACCAGGATAGTCTCAATCTCTTGACCTCATGATTCACCCGCCTTGGCCTCCCAAAGTGCTGGGATTATAGGCGTGAGCCACCGTGCCCGGACTCCTCTCCTCATTTACTTCTATCCCTGGTACTATCATTCTTTCAGTCTCCCCAGCTCAAAATATCACTCGGGTTTTATTCTTTTATATAGAATGTCCTGTAAAGAAAATTGGTCACCAAATCTCCTTTCATAAGGACCCTGACACCCATTTCCTTTCCTTCCAGGCTCAGCAATACCATCCTGGCTCAAGCCCTTATTAGTAGCTCACGTCTGCACTACTCCCATGCTAAGTGGTTGCTTTTGTTTAGAAGTCGATTTTATCCATCTCTCCCCTCGTTATCCAGCCCAAACACTGTTAGCAGATTATTTTCCATTAACCACCACTTTGATCTCAACCTTTGCTCAAGAAGCTTACGTGCTTGCATATTGCCTGAATGACAAAATCTAAATTCCTCTACCTGACTTTGTAGAACTTAATGTGATCTATTATCAGCCCCGATTTTTACATCTTCTCTCCTACATCTCCCCAGTACAAACACTACCCCCCAACCAAAAAAATATAAAAATGATAGGTAAATCACTAGAACAGAATGTTTGGTTAAACAATAAAAATAAAATTGTTGCCATAAAACTAACACAAATGTTTTACTTTTCAATCATTAGACAAAGCCTGTGTATGATGATTGTTAATGACTTTCTATTTGAACTAAAACAAATATTGAAACTGAGGCACAATTGAGCTTTTACGAGCCCAAATGTTCCATCTTTAAGGAAGAAAAACAAGAAATACACAAAAATTACAAGCAAGATTATAAATTTAAAAACAAATCACAGAAATGTTTCAAGTAAACAAATTCCTGTCAAGGAATACCCCCACAATAAAAGTACTGAAGCCATTATCATAAGTAAACTAACACAGGGACAGAAAAGCAAATACTGTATGTTTTCACTTGTGGGAGCTAAACATTGAGTACACATGGACATAAAGATGGGAACAATAGACACCAGGGTCTAGTTGATGGTGGAGGATGAGAGGAGGGTGAGGACAGGAAAACTACCAATAGGGTATCATGCCTATTACCTGGATGATGAAATAATCTGTATGCCAACCCCCCATGACACAAAATTTGCCTATAAAATAAACCTGCACATGTACTCATGAACCTGAAATAAAAGGTTTTTTGAAATTTTCAATTTTTAAATAATACCAAATTTCAGTACTATCTTACTTTAATTTGGGAATGCCACATTAAACCTGTTGTGTAATAAAGAAAACTTCTTTAAAAAAAAAAAGGACCACTCAACAAATGACTTCACTCTCATACTTAGTATTTCTATTCAAAAGAAAAGGAAAGGATCTATATGAAGAAAATAACTGAATTGTACAGAGATATGTAGAATAAACTTAAATAATTGGAGGGAAATATGTGCTCATTTGGGAGGATAATATTATAAAGATATTGATTTTTCCTAAATTAATTCATATTTATACTTTTTATAGCCTTCTATCTACTTACAAATAATTTTTTAAAAGGGGAGAAAATTCACTTTACTTTTCTTGACTTTATTTTCTTATTTTGAAAAACATGTCTGTGTTTTCACTGTACAGGTTAGAATGTAGAGAATACTTGCTCTTACATAGACCAGGTGTTTTTGCCACTATCTTTCTTCTGTATTTTTATCTCAACCGCAAAGATAGGAAAACAGTATCTTCCAAAAACACAATCAGCATTGACTTACCCGAGGAGAAACTGGGGAAATAAATAAATGTTCTACAACACATTTTTCAAAATGAAAGCAATATAATAATACTTCATAACAGATGACTAAAGCTAGACTGTTCAACTGCTAGGTTATCTGATTTAAAATATTTAGGATAATGTTTCACTGAAAGAGGAAAGTACTTAATAATCCTAAAACTCTATCTGATCCAAATTCATATACATAAATCTCCACAAATAGTAAAAATCATATACCAATAGGATATTGTAAAAAATGTGGTCTTGCTTTTTTTTTATCTGTAATTGAAGACCATTACTCAATCTTCAAATTTGTTTAAAAGGTGAAGACTCTTTTGAAGATTATACAACAATATTTAATGCATACACCAAGATGTGATTAACACATGGAGGTACTGAGGAAGAGAGAAACATTCTGATAATTCAAGTTACAATTCTGTTTTTCTGAGTTACTTTGTAATAGTAATGGCTTAAATCTACAGTTCTTTGCACAGAAAAATAGAACTTTACAGAAAAATACAACTTTACATAAAACCAAGGATCACAACTTTGAAAAGACAAGTTTATTCTTATCTTTGTTGTACTTTTTCCAAAGTGTATTTGTAAGCTTAAATTTTTCATAGCTGGTAATAAAAACTCTTTTGTGGAAGTTTCATTTAACAGAGGAGCTATTTGAGTAGAAGTAAAAAGTAGTTTCATTTAAATCTGCAGACTTAGCAGGTCTCTAAAGACTTTAACAGGAATAACAGTTATATTTAAGATATTTTGTCTTGAAAAAGCAAAATTATTAGTGTTTAAAGATAGCCTCTGATATGTGCTTGATATTTTTGTGTTCACTTCAAAACACGCAGGTGCAATGTCATAAAATCTGCAGATGTTGATTTCTGATTATAGAACTCTTATCTTCTTCAGAGCATGGTTTAATTTATATCTACCATGGAAATGAAGAACACAACATATTTTGGATTCAAATAAAGATAACTTACTAAGGTCCTCTTTTGATTATAATCATCTTTCTTAGGCATTTACTTCACTTATATTACATTAAATGCTTCTTTAAATAAATGTCTTCGTACCAGTAGAGGAAATGTAAGCAGTTTACCTAGTGCTTTACAGTGCTTTCAAGTGACGTTATTTGTGTAGAAGTGGATCAAAGTTGAGTGCCCATTGCTAGTACAGTGTGGTAAGCTGATTAATGGCTATCCAAAGATGTCTACACCATAATCTGTAAAATCTAAGAATTTGGTACCTTACATGGAAGAAAGTTGCTAATGTTATTAAGGATCTTGAAATTGGAAGATTATCACAGATTATTCAGGTAACCCCAATGGAATCCAGGGGTTCTTATAAGGGTGAAGCAGGGGAGTCAGGGGCAGGAGATGGGACAATGAAAGCAGAGGTAGATTGATGTTTTCTGGAGGTGGGGGAAGGCACCAGGACCCAAGGAGTGCTGCGACCTCTAGAAGCTGGAAAAAACAAGGAAAGGATTCTCTTCTGAAGCTTCCAGGAGAACACAGCCCTTCAAACATGTCTTAGACTTCTGACTTTCAGAACTACAAGACAATGGGCTGTGTTGCTTTAAGCCATTACGTTTATGGGAACTGATTACAGCAGCAATGGAAAACTATAATACATATAGTTTTAAGATAACTCCAAATTAAAATATAAAATGCAACCATTTAAAAAATGAAATTGAGTTTGCCAACAATCATGTAAATTCATAGTAAAGACAGTATACTATATCAAAAAAAGAGCATTTGAGAATTTGACACCTCCAAATTCAAATCATAACTCTGCTACTTTCTAACTCTTTAGTTGAGGCATTTAACATCTTTGTGTGTCATTTTGCTCATGTATAAAATAAGGACAATACTGCTATCAGTGTTGGGTTGTGAGTGAGAATTTAATTAGTTAATATATGTAAAGCACTTAGCATGGAGGTTGGTAAATCCCAACCCTGATAGAAGCCAGATAGCATAAATGAGGAGCATTCATTCATGCCCTGTCTGAAGAGGTCAGAGGCTACTCAGCTCCGCCAATAACTGTCACATGGGCATACGGGTCAAATGCTGCCAGGTGTTACAATTGTCAAGAGAAACCAGAAACACAAATGTTAATTTGAAAGATCTCAATTTTTAAATGTTGACTTCTTTAGTGTTTAAATATTTATTCTCTTTCTTAAATCACTGGGAACAAAATAACTGATTTCTTATCAAATTCAGTCCACAAGACCATTTTGCAACCTCTAACCACCCATATGGTAGAGATGTGATGTTGTCTGTATTTATGAACAATGAAATCCCTGGGCAAAATTCTGAATCTGTCAATGCTTTTAGTGATCCTCTTACTTTTACATTCCTCTTTACTCA